CTTTTTGTATGTTTGTAGGACTTTGTGTTCTACGCTCCTCGCCTACGCATCAACAAGCGCATCTTAGCGCTGTGCATGGGCAATCACGAGTTGTACATGCGCCGTCGAAAGCCGGACACGATCGAGGTGCAGCAAATGAGGGCACAGGCTCGCGAAGAACGACAGCAGAAGGTCGCTGAACGCGAGCGCCTGCAACGCGAGATTTCAGCCAGAGAGGCCGCCGAAAAGAAACAGAGGGAATACGAAGACAAATTGCATGAGATGCAAGAGGAAATGCATAGGGCCCAAACAGGTATTTAAATTTTGCTCTCGTTGTTGCGTTTTCAATAAAAGAAAATTCATCCAAGTTGTGACGTTGAAGGCTTCGAAGTTTATTGTTCGAACAGGATCGCTGAAGAATTACTTTTTTCAGCATTGTTGAAAACGACAATAAGAAATATGCTTAAATTGATTGCTAAATTTGTCCTTCGATTCCATGCTAGCGTCCAGGAAGAAAAACATCCATAAATTTTTATTCAACGCTAATTCAGCTTTTCGAACGAATTGGCGTTGTTCGTTGTTTCCTTTATTCAATCAGTTAAAAATTCGTTAGCTTGTGCAACGTGCGCTGTTATCGATAGACAGACAATTTGCTGCCTTTTCGAATGCCTTAGACATATTGTTGAAATATTCCACATTAATGAACTTTTGTATGTTCTTCATCATAAATTTAAAGTTAGTAGATAAAGGAAGAGGGTTATGGGCCTGGAAAATATGTATTTATTAAGTGAACTTTTCGGAACACGCGGCGATGTCGTTTGTTGGGGGTATTTTGTGAACCCAACCTTATTGCCTTATGTACGTTTCTAATGTATCTTGTACAGTAAAACGTGGGTAAGTCAAAACTTGGTCTCAAGCGTCTGGCTTTGTTGTGAAGGGTGTATAAAGCAAGAATTTCTTTTTTCTTAACAGTATGCTTGCATTTGAATGCATGTGCTACTTCACTGCTAAAGTCCTAAAGTTTAGATTTGATCGAAGCTCAAGATACCATCAAACGTCTCGAGGACAGTTTGAGGGAGGTGAAAGATGCGCAAGCAGACTTGGCTCGTAGGGAAGCCGAACTGCAGGAAATGACTAAACGGCTGGCGGAGGAAAAAGAGATGGAAGAAAAGGAGAAAGAAAAACTTGCCGAAGAAATCCGCCAACGCGAAAGTGAGATCGAAAACGTCCGGAAGGAGGTACGAGACTATTTTGTTTCGAACGATTGTTTCGGTTGAGATGCTTAATTAAATACTAAGCAATTCAGGTTGAAGAGAAAAATGAACAGACTCGTCTCCTGCAGCAAGAGGTTGAGGAAGCGCGCCTGCGACAGCAGGAGGCCAGCGAAGCTCTGCTACGTGCGACTACCGAAGCAATGCAACACAACAAGATGCATAATGTGTTCGAGCACGAACAGTTGGAGGAAAACGATACGGAGCAATTGTCGAACGGTGACGTCAGTAAGTATTTATCCTTTCCGTTTGCCTTATTGTCGCAGTTAGTGACTACCAACCCAAATCTTAATGTTAATCGTTCGTCATGCTAATTGTTTGTCATTTTTCTGCCATGTGTTTGACGTTTTCTGTTTATGCTAACTGTAAATGTGTTGTGGTGGTGATGTCGAACGCTTCGTTCATTTGCTTCTTAAATACGTTTAGACCAGTACCCTCTTAAAGAACGTTTGTCACTAGCGAGCAGCGACACCAGTAGTGCTGCTGCTGGTCTGGTCACGTCGTCGTCGTCGTTCCAGAGTCACCCAAGTCTATGCGCGACGACCAGCAATGCATCCAGCTACTTTCTTCGACCTTACTCCTCCAACTACAGCACTTATCGCTCGGCGGCGATCTCTAACTACACTCGTTCATCGACGACGGCGACCAACGTCGATCTGGACGTGACCATGGTCACGATTGACAACAACAGCAAGGAACAGGTGTTTATCAGCGAAACTGAGAAGATTAAAAGCAGTGGTGATAGTGCGGCTTCCTCTTTGATTGACTCTGGATTGACTTCTAGCTTATTATCGCAGCGCAGTTCAGAAAGTCATACAAACAGTGAGTTTTTGTGCATTGTGTTTTTGTTGCTTGCTCCCGCTTCGTTCGCATCATTAATTATTATTTACGCTTTTTGCTGCGATACTCTGTCTTTGAGGGATGTTTGGCTGCTTTTGTTTGTTTTTTTAAGTCTATTTTTGTGGAGGTTTTATAATCACAACCGCTTTACAATAATTTGTTTCTAGTGTACCGTTCTGTAATGCACAGACGTGGTTCTACTTATCTAGTTGCTGCATTTCTGGTTTTAACGCTGCTGATCTCAAGTGATATCTTATGTATAACGCGTATATCCGAATGCGATGCTAGTTGAGTCTATCAATAAACGTGCATGGCTTTCAACAGATCTTCCATCCCAACAGTAGGGGAAAATGATGGTCTGAGGTGAGTTTTTCATGGGAAATTTCTAGTAGGCAAATAATGTTGGCAAATAACTGACACTGCCATTTTTGGGTAAGTGGTTCATAAATTTTGTGAATTCACTGGAATTGCGAAGTTTTCACCTCTTAAATAGATTTTTAATGACCAGATGCATACGTTGGTTGAGTGAATAGAAGATGCTTTGAACCCTGCAAATGTAACAACTTCGTTTTAGGGGTGCAACCCTCTGTGTCCCCTATAGTTGTCTTTTTCTGCTGACAATTTTGTCGGCTAAAGTGTCCGTGCCGGATTATTCTTTCTTTGGATCCGTCAAATCATGATGATTTATCGTGTCTCTGGAAGGTTGCAGACTCCATACAATCTGCAGATTCGTGATTACGTATTTGCCTTTAATTGCGGGGAAGGATAGCCAGTTTTTCCATTTTAATTTTTTAGCTAAAGTCAGAAGGGCTGTCCTTGAGGGATTTTTCCTCTCTGACAGGTACTGTGGTTTTTAATTCATGACTCTCAGCAGCGATTCGTAGCGTTCTTTGAGCGACATATCTCTCTTTCTTTTCTGCCCTTACAATTTTCCAAGTTTTATGCAGATGCGTGTTGTATTCTGGGTCGATTCTTCTACGTTGTTTCGAAATAAATCAAGGCTGAGTCAGTATAGGTCAAATTTTGTAATCTCCTGTTTCCCAAGTGTTTCTCGATATTTCAAAGAATAACGCATTATGTGGAACATTACTGTTCATTAAATGACATAATTATGAACGTAATTGAACCCGTTCTTTTCGAATGTGACTCGGATCTTCTGAAACGAGTTTATCAGGTGACGTTGCCTTTCACCTTTTGTTGACCTTCTTTTCATGGTTTCATTTTGTGTTGCCCCTAAGTTGGTTTTCTGCTGATTTCCTTTCCTATCAGATTGAATGAATGAACGTTGCCAGCGTTGCATTCATCTTCAGATCTTCATGAATAACTTTATTAATAGAGATGGGTAATTAATGCTTTTTGAAGAACATCGCCGATCAATTCTGTTCCTTCAGCAAACACACCTTTGTTATTAGAGCTTATTTAACAGTTCTTATGAAAAGCGTTGTCTTTCCAATTTCATTGAGTTATCCTCTAGAATGGGTTCAGCATCGACAGTTTTGAGAGTATCATAGCATAATGTCTTTTAAGGCTAGTCCAGAACTGGCATTACTGAATGTAATTGATAATAATTTATTTTTCTGTACTTTTCAGTAAGTTAAAGAAATACAAATTCATAAGATTAGATAAGGAATTAGTATTAGAAAGAATCACTAAAATAGTCCAACATGCTTGGAACGTATTTTGTTCAAGTGTTAGCATCGAATTGCTTAAGAGCTTTAAAGATACATGCCAAAGGATTTCATCAGAGTTTTATGCCGTAATAAACTCAGGCATCGCTGGCTACTGACGACAGTGCTCATAACAGACACTGTGCTAACCATTTTCTAAGCAAAGGCACTCTATAATTATATTTGTTATTCATAATTTGAAAGAATACTGTGAGTGCTTGTGCCGGTTCAAAATTTTTGAGCGATTCTACCACTTGTAGAAGATTCCACCAACAGAATTGTGGATTTTAGAATCGGTGTTGGCAGCCTTGAGAAAAAACAGGCAGTCCTATAATCCTATTCCTGTCTGAATAGAAAAGATTTGCAAAGCTTTCAACGTGGAACAGCGCATATGAAAACAAATAAACATAACTCAGTCGTTGAAAAACTGTTCAGAGGACAACGTTTCCGACATCGGCATTCTCTCTCTGCTGGGCTTGACTAATTTTGCTGAGAGAAACGTCGACTTTTGCATTTCGTCTTTCGGCATATTCCATGCGAGATGTGATCAGTTAGTTCAAATATCATAACGTTTCTAGTTATCTTAACCCTACCGTAAGCAATAATGCCGAGAAAGAGAAATATTGAGCTTTAATATTTAAAGTAAATTTAAGTCATCATTTTTATGGGCAGTTTTGGACGTGACGTACTTGTCAAGAAAAGAAAAGAATCGTTTTTGGCGGTTTGAATGGCGGTCGTCCTTACACGTTCAAGATGGGGCCATTTCTGGCGCAGTTCTTACTATGAAGTTAATGGTGAACAACGAAATTGATTTTTATGCCATCTGCCAGAAGTGCCTTATCTTTTACAGATGGTCGCTAGCAGCTATGTGGCAGACATAGTCTGTACTTCTCTATTTCCTATACTCATTTGCCGCCTAGAAGTAAAGAACGGCGAATTACCTAATGATACTCGAACCCACAACTTAGTAGTTCTGAGCTTCACGCTTTATCGAGTGAGCAACCCCAGGCCGGATGGTGGCCAGATGGAATACGACTAAAGAAAGAATTTTTTCAGTGTAAAAAACTTCAACGAGCTCGCGGGTAAGGCACTTTACCTGAAATAAGGCGAAACTTTACCTGAAATAAGGCAAGTTTTGTCCATTTAGGAGTTACCTTTCGTGGCGTCTATACCTATTTTAACATTATTGACTTTAGGTCGTTTTTTAGTTTTCTTTTCAAATAACCTTTTTCTCCTGTAGTTCCTCCTTCCCACCATACACACAATTTCGTCGTAATACCCTAATTGATATTTAGTATTTTCAGGCTTTTTTTTCTTAACTAGTCCTGTACTTAAACTTGGACGATGAGTCCATGCGACGCTGTTTACGTAGCCTAGCGCTTATGCGTGCGTTTGCTTGCCGTGTATCGGACACCCTTTTTTCGTTAATGCTCATTTTATCGTATGACTGATCGATTTAACTGCATCGATTCGTTGCGTACGGTTGGTCTTTATTCGACCTAGCACTTCTTTAGCTTATCGTCGAGCATTTGAAATCACAGAGACAGCGCCGTGCCTGAAAATCTTTTCTGACTTCTTTGTGTTCTGTAATGGTAGCGGTAGTGGTAGATGCATCGAGTGATTTTTTTGACTTGACTTTTTGTGCATGTTGTTATACAGCGTATAGTCGTTGTTCATTTAAGAGATTGAATTGACCTCGGACGAAATGGCTAATGTTCCTCAGTGGGAAATCGACCGGCAGACAGCCGTAGAACGTGATACCGGTATGAAAAGTCGATTAGAGGTAAATAT